ATCTCGATTGCGTGTGATCGCGTGCTTAAACCGTGTCCATGCAATTCTGCCTCAATCTAAAGACTAAGTTGGTTTCGCTCAGGTACGACGTTGTTTCGGTAGTATCGTAAACTTAGTTTTGTCGATTAACAACATACAGTTAACCGTTCTCGTGATAACGTACTTGACACGTAATGTCGCGCAATTTAAGAGAAGCGAAATTTTATAGATAATATATATTTTCCAACCTATGGATTTCGTTTATACACGTACTTTATTTTGAGTACTTAGGAAGAAATGGATTGTAATATCGGTACAATTAATTAGTGGTGTAATAGTTTAACTGATCTATACTGTGGATTAATTGAATGTTAATTTTTTTCTTAACAAAAATTGTAATTTTATATTTTATAATTTGAGCGTTTTTATTTCAATTATTCTAACAATTTTCACATTTATGCAATTTGCAGTCACAACATTATATTCAGTTATGCTTTATTTGTTCTATATTGTATTCTTTATTATTAATTATCCTATATTCGATTTCATTCTAAAATATTTTTTTATTATTTTATCGTCATAAATCGGTTTTTTGATAGAAATATTGTCAATATCATCTTATTTGGTATCATTTACTCATTATTTTATTTTTAAAAATTAGATTAAATAGCTTGAAATTATTAAATAAAACAATATTTAATTAATCAAAAGTTTGAAAATCGAAATTATCTATTATATATTTGGAAAAATTTTAATTGCATTTACTGTATTTGTAAAAAAATGTTCGAAATCTGTCATTTACATCGATATATCATCATTTGTGATTAAAAAAATTATTGGATTTTTCATTTATTAGAAATTAATCTAATTTATTAATTTCCTCTATTATTAAATTCCTCTATTTTAGCATTAACATATATTCCAAAAAATGAGATCAACGATTCTTGAATGACAAATTTTTTCACATAACTATTTAATAAACCAGGAAATTCCGGTTTGCATGGGCCATTGTACTATCGTTTCGTGCACGCAGGAGAAAATATATTTCTACCGATTTGTTATTCGTCAAACTTGTCAGAGGAGGAAATCTGTGGCTGGTACCCTTGGAATAATAATTTCTTGATATTTGTATACTTTTTATTTTGGAAAAAACTTTTATCCAATCATTTTATCCGGTCACGACACTCAAGCTTTACGAAATTGTGACAAGTTGAAAATTTATGATTAACAATGTCATCGAACAGAAAGCAATTATCATTCATTTTTAATAGTTATTAATTTTTAATAGATAAATTAAAATTATAAGATAAATTTATAATAGTAAATTTAATATAATATTTAATATAATATAATAGCAAGGAATAAAATATAAAGATAAGATTTTTTTTTATTATTTATGAATTCTAATAATAAACAAAATTGTGTTCTATAATAATATTTAATCTGTTAGAAATCTGAATTTAATTAATTTCAATTTTTTTTTAAACGCCATAAACTACATAAAAATTATTTTTATTGATTCTATAAATTTATAAATTTTATAAATTTTTATTCATTGATTTGTATAAGATTTGAAAAAATAATATGAAATAAATATATCAGAAAAAGAATTTTATCAAAATACGTTCTTAATTGTTATTGATAAAACATTTTACAAGAAATTATTGTTACGAACATTACAATAAATTAAAGTTATTTATTCGATGTGGTTTTCCATAAACATAAACTCGATAATGAAATCCTCTAGAATATTTCGATTTGAATTTGATTTTAATGAAATTATATCCTATTCCACCGGATGTCACCCACATGGCTCCATTGTTCTCGTCAGATAGAGAATCTACTCCTATACACGTGATTGTCACATCGGCTGGTCCATACTCTGCCTCCACTTCCTGTAACCAAGTAAGGAAAAAATCAGTAATAGATGTTAAAAGTAATCCCACGATTTTTACATCTTTTTGCTTAATTTATATTTGTTAATTGAATGATAACTTTATATTGATAAAACATCATTGATAAAATTTCGGATCTTTTCTTTTTTTTGATTGTTCTCTGTTGAAAAATATTTAAATTTTACATTATTATACTTTGATATGATAATAAAAATAATTCAATATTTTAATCGATTAATTTTAATATAGAAAATTTATACACACACTAATACATTATAAATATATTAAATACTATAATATTTTAAAAAACAATGTTAATTATAGATTTCTGTATAAAAATTATCTTATATTTAAATAATTTTTAATTGCAAATCAAATTTTAAATAAAAATTCTTATTAAAAATTTCAAACATTTGAAATTTAATGAAAAAAAATTTTAAAATATTCAAAAATGGTTAAAATTTTTATTTTTTTTTACTTTTTTGTTTTACAGATAATTTCCATATATTCTAATATTTTAAAATGCTTTCTGTTTATGTTGTCTATTTCATTTGTAATGTTCATATAAGCTTAGACATTAATATCGAAATAATATTTAATTTATATATATACATTGACAAATGTCAATGATATTCGCGTGTCATAGACATCGGGTTATCGACATCAATTTCAATTATAGAGTAAGAGTAGTATACATACTTGATATGCACCGATCCTGTACGGTCTTCTGACGTCATACTCCCAGATAAGTTCTTCGCCTGTTCTTCGTTGACACTGCTCTTTTTTATATGCAACAACGATGATTAGTAAATTGAACAGAAGAAAAAATACGACGAATTTCATTCTCTCG